ACAAGTAGGGCAGGTTCAAGCAAGGTGAGGTGTATAATCATTGGTGGGATGGGGAAATGGTCTTTGAATTATTCCTAAAATTGTCTCTGTCACTCTTCTTTTTTTGCTACCACTTGCGGTTTTCTTAGGTCACTGGACCTATTTGGGCTGGGGAGAGCAGCAGAGTACGTAAGATTGAATTCCTTATAATTTTCTTGATTTTACCCTTTAACACATTCCCTCTGAACTGTGAAGCTGGATATTCATGCATACAAGCAAATATAATTTCACTCCCTTCTCCTCCCCTACTTAAATCTTAAAGACCATTACTTGCAGTGGAATGTTATATCCTTTCATGCTGGATTTTTTGAAGACTGTGTGCATGTGTGTGTGTATGTGTGCGTGTGAGAGAGAGAAAGAGAGAGAGAGAGAGAGAAATTTCAAACCAAAGTCCCAGTTAAAATCTTGGCAGTATCTAGATTTTTCCTTCCCAGAGATAAGTACTATCATCAGCACTAGTGTTGGGAAACTCTCTCCTTTGGTCTCTTGGCTAAGGAGTGCAGTGACTAGAAGAAGTTTCCTTCTGAAAGTGTATTTTTTGTGAGCAAGAAACTGAGAACATGGTTTGACTTTCCTTCAAGCAGCCCAGTTAGGCTGGAGGCCATCTTCATTCTAGAGCTTTGAGAGTGGACAGTCAGTTCTTTCCAGCAAGATACACAGCCTTAGGCTGTCATTACTGGCTATATTACCCATCTTACAGGGGGTTTGGTTGAGTCCCAGTGCTTTGGTATCCAGCATGTGCTAAGAGGGGCCAAATTTTGTTCTGCCACTGAAATTTCTTATGACTATGTACTTTCTGTGATTCCTTAGTGTTTCCACTGGGAACTGCTCTAAGGCAGCCCAAGAAAGCGGAGATAATTTAAGATTTTCAAAGAAAAAAGTAACTAAGCCATGAAAAAAAAAATGGTTTGAATTCTCTTTCCTTTTTTCTCAGGCTGATAAAGTTCTCCCTGTATTCTGGATTTAAAGACAGGATTTCAATCCAGGACCAGAAATCCTCATTGTTTAGTATTTCATTCAGTATTGTTTGAGTGCCTGCTCTGTACCTGGGGGCCCATTTTTGCCCCAGATTAGATTACTTTCTCCAGGTTTATTTTCTGTCATTCCCTTCCATGTCCTTTTATGTACCTGCCAAATGAGCTACAAAGTGTTTCTCAAAAATATATATGGCCTTTCTCACGGTTGGGCTTTTACTCATGCCATTGTTTTTATCCTGATTCTAGAAGGTATTTCCCCTTCCCCTCTGAACTTAACCTGTTGAAAACCTACCAGTCTTTCAAAGTTGTCTCCTCCATAAAGCTTTTTCTGCTCACCCTAATAGGAAGTGACCTTACCTTCAACTCGTATAACATTTGGTGTGTACTGTTCTCATGATAGTTACTTCCTTGTTTTTGTATCCATATTTTCTCTCTCCTTTTAGACTGATTGTGTACTTTGAATCTTCTGTGTTGTTTAGCCTTGTACTTAAAGGCACTCAGTTAATACTTGAATTAGTTAATTTTCCCAGCCTTTTAGTTTTTCAAGGGCTTTTCAATTTTTGCCCTCAACCTAGCCCACAAGTCCTTCTTAGGCTGAGTAACCAAACCTGCACTCAGGTTCTTTTTCTCAGTAAAGCCAGCTGCCGTGGTACTGTGGAGTAGAGTAGAGTCAGTAAGAGATTGTCACTGCCACACTGAAAGTGCAATTCTTTCATTCAAACCTTTTTCTTTTTTAAAAAAGATTTTATTTATTTATTTATTTGACAGACAGAGATCACAAGTAGGCAGAGAGGCAGGCGGGGGC